CACAGCCAGTACGCAGCGGTAGTGCCAGGGGCACCATGACCGAGTCAGAAGGACTCATGGCAGTGAGGAGCAGGCTGCATAGGAGCCCAGTCTCCTTGCTGAGGATGTGTGACAGTGCCAAGCACCTCTGACCGGGGACCCATCTTGTTGGTCTCCTTTCAGATGCAGCGCGTGTCCTACATGAGCACTGCGTGGAGATCAGTGTGGTTTATGCAGTGATGGCACTTACATCTCATCAGCCTTCCTGCAAGTGCAAGAGACTTTTTAGTGATCAAAATTAGGAGAGAAGGGATCAAACATCAGAGGCTGTTGTGAAAGGAGCTTCCTGGCCTCTGTGGTGGTGCTTATCTATTGATCCTTTTCCACTGTGCTGTCCTTAACTGCAGGTGATCATCATCATTTACTTGTCCGTGGTGGGGGCACTGCTGCTTTACATGGCTTTCCTTGTGCTGGTGGACCCTCTGATCCGGAAGCCAGATGCTTATACCCAGCCTCTGCACAATGAGGAGGAGAATGAGGTGAGGCTGTGAGGTTGGTGCCTGCCCGGCACAGGGCTGGCTGCAGTCGCGGTGGAGACAGGGTGGTGGGACAGCAAGAAAATGGCTGACAGGGAAACAGAGTGATCTCATGCTTGTCCCTTCTCATCCAGTGTGTGTGACCAATGTTGTTGCTTTTTGGGCACTTACCACAGGTAAACATTTAGACTCAAGTCTGTGCAGATCATGTTGAAGCACAAGGAAGTATTCAAAGTACAAGTTCTGTATGATGAGCCTGAGATGAAACCTGTCCTCTGGGGCCAGGGATGGCTTTTACCAAGTGGCCTGAATTTGTTACGTCAGTCTAGATGAAACCAAAAGTCAAACGGTTCCTGTTTGTGCAGTGTCCTAGGTGTAGTTACTTGGTTGTGAGCTTCCAGGGAAGGATGGGTTTAATTATTTGCTGAAACATGGGGCTGGCCTCTCTTCTAGACGCTTAAAAGAGCGGCCTCTGAAGTGCTGTGGCTGTTGTTTGACTCTGCTCTGGGGCTGGGCCCTGTTGTATCCAGGTCCTTGTTCCTTGTGCTTCTCCCCAGACCAGAATTTCACTCAGATCCCATCTTTTTGGGTGACATTGGCATACAACATCTTGGGCAAGAAGATTAGGACCCAGCAGCAAAGAGAGAGCCTGTCTGTCTCTCTCTCTCTCTCTCTCTCTCACAGGTTTTGGGGGAGTACAAACTTCTTGCTGTAATTTCAGCATCCAGCATACAACATCCTTCCCCTAGGAGAGAGGCAGTGGGCACTTTAGGGGCAATGATGGTGCCTGATTCCAAGGGGGATTTCAGAGCAAGAGCACCCTGACTTGTAAATCTTTTCTTCTTCCCCTGAGGCTTCCCTTCTCTTCTAAGGAAATACAGGAGGCTGAGAGGGGGATGGTCTCTCAGAGAGGAAGTGTTGGAGGCAGAACTGATGGTTAGCACGCAGAAGAGGTGGAGTGGAGTGGTGGCTGCATGTGCAGTGATTAGTTCTCATGCCCGATTGCACCTGTAGCTCACTCTCTGTTTGTGGGATGCAAGGGCTGTCCAAGACCTGCTGCCTGTTAGCGCAGCACGTGGTTCTGTGACACGGTCTTCTCAGTTCAGACGTGCAATTTAGCGGGGCACAGCGCTAGGCAGAGCTCTCTCCTGGAGCAGAGTTCCCTCCCTTGGTGGAGCCCCAGGGCTGCGCTCAAGCATCGCCTCAGCTGCTGCGAGAAGACTTGTGAGGAGGCCTTCCTTAGCAATTATTGACTGGATGCTAGTGAGTAGCTCAGTTACACTTTGGGAAGGGAAGCTGCAATGTTTGAAGATACTCTCCTTTCCTACTCTCTTAGAAAACCACTGGATCAGACTGTACTGTTTATACTTTGTTGTAAGTATAAACTACTCAGTCTAATTCTTTTATATGCTGATGTAAGTGAGGAGTAGCTGCTCTGAAGTGCAGAGTCTACCCATTACCTCCCTCTGCTGAAAAAAGGAGCTCCTGCAGGAGGAGATGAGTTGTAGCCTTAAAGTGCGCTTTTGCTGCACTGCTCCACAGGAATAATTCAGATTTAGATCTAGGTGCACACTGTAGATGCCTGATAGTAGGTGAGGATTATCTCACTCCGGTGTGCTGGACTGTAAACTCTTTGGGAGTTAGTGCAGTTCCTCTCCTGGGGACTCTTTCTTTGGGGCCCGTGACTTTACTATGGGTGGTACCCAAGAGCAAGCTTTCCATCCGGAGTTGGGGGGCTGGTGTTGAGCAGCTCTGAAAATGGCGTTCTTTGTCAGGACAGCTCAAGCCTTGAATTACTCTTTCAGCTGAAATTTTGCCCAGAGCCGAGCTGCCACCTTCTGCGTTCATGCTGGGCATGTCTTGATCTCACTCACCATATCTTTCTGCTGCAGGATGCTCGCTCCTTGGCTGCAGCCCACACCCCATCTGGCACTAGAGCCAACACGGTGCTGGAGAGGGTGGAGGGGGCCCAGCAGCGCTGGAAGCGCCAGGTGCAGGAGCAGAGGAAGACAGTTTTCGACCGCCACAAGATGCTGAGCTAGATCTTTGCTGAGCTGTGCAACACCACTTCCCAAGAGACAGGGTAGCTCCGTTGGTCAAGATGGACCGCAAGTCATCCTTCAGGACATCCGTGGTGTTTGACTGGAAGTTCTAACTCTCTCTGATTTACCGTCTTCATAGAGAGAAGCAGACCAAAATGCTTGCCTCTGTTTTTGTCCCCTCGCCCTTTACCTCTCAGCCCAGAGGCTCCTTAACCCTTGCCCGGCTGACATCTGTGCTGATCGTTAGCCCCGTGGCTGCATGTAAACGGTAGGTCCTACGCTGCTGCACCAGGTCACAGGCCGACTTGAGCCGGGGCTGCAGCTCCAGTGCGCTGCGTTCGGCTGGACCCCTCCAGGCACCACTTGCTGGTACTGAAGTCTCTGTCAGCCCACCCCCACATCAGAGACAGGGGTCTCTGTATGGAGTGTTGGAAGCTGGCTGGGCCTTCCTGGGATAAAAATAGTGGGATAATTTTTATGTGGGATAAATTATGCAGCGCTCCTCCAGGACAAAGCTCCTCCAGTTTGCACCAATGTTAATTGGGTGTCGTGGTGTTGAGACGAGTGCATTGCACAGGAAGGAGGAGGACAGGGTTACCCACCAGTGGTTAGCTGCTGCTTGCACTTATCCTGGTGTAAACTGGATTTCCACTTTATTCAGTGGAATCTGTCCAGATTTACACCAGCATAACTGAAACTGTAGCTTGTTTCTGTGTCAGTGAATATCACAGAACTGATTACTACGTTCACAAGTAAGAGAGCGACAGGTAAAAGTTGATTTACAGTTATATCTTTTCCTGCTTTAGCAGTGGATAAAAATTTACTGAGGAGAAAGCTTTCTGTTTGTTCCCACGTTAGTAACCCTTGACGCTCTCACAGTTCAGTCAGGGGCATTTGTGTCTAGGAGAACTGGGGCAAAGGCTTTACTGGAGCACTGTAAAAACTTGTCTGGGTCTTGGGGCCCTGGAAATGGGACACTTGTGCTACTCCGAACACTCTGAGAGCTCTGACTGTACTTGGGCTGTGTGGAGGAAACCAAAGTGATCTTGCAATGTGTACATTGATCCCACTGAGAACATCGATAATGTCAGGAAGGTGCCAGAGTTTATCATGTAGCATCTCTGTATTAAATGCAGACAAAGATCTATTACATGGCTGCTTTTTTTCAGGGAAAAGTCCCATCACACCAGGTCTGGGGCTCCCAGCACTGAGTGGCTGCTCTCCAGGCTGCCTTCCAGTGCCCAGCAGGCAAGTTGATGCAGGACCTCGAGACCAAGCTGTGATGAAGCACGCGGGTGTTTTGGCTCTGCAGGTGTGTGTCCCCTGGCACTAGTTTGTGGCTGTCCTGGTCCAGAAGAGCCAGGCTGAAAACACTGGCAAGCCAGAGTAAGTTAGTGACAAACTGTTCCGAGCTGTCAGGGGGGAAGGCCAAGCAGATCAGAATTCCTCCTTATTTGTTGTAAGCTGAGCAATTGTTGCTAAAAGCCTAACTGGGAGAGGTGCTGGTCAACAGCCTTGCACGCTAGTGCCAACAGGTTTTGATCGAGCTGCTCGGCAGGTTCCAGCACTCCGAGCTGATCCTGCCAGGCAAATCCAAACAGAAGCTTTTCGGGGGCTTTGTGCTTGCAGCTTACATGTACCCCAGTTACCCTTCAGCACCTCGCTGGGCTAAGAGCCTCACCACCTACGAAGCCCATGTTTTCCTTTACCTATCCTTGTTCCGTGGTGCTCAACCATTGGACCTTTCTCCTCTTCTCCTCTTTTTAGAATCCTCGTCTTCCCTGTCCTTCCCTCTTGGTGTGAATTCTTCTTGGACTGGGAACTGCAGTGTCCGTCCCCCCGCCCCTCAAATCTGTTTGAAGGATCTGAAAGCTAGCAGCTGGCCAAGAGCTGCCGTGGTGGTGGTGCAGGGACTGAGCTGGTGCGATGGGTCCATCTGGTGGCCGTGTCCCTCTGATCAGCACCCAGACATCACTGATCACCAGTGGTGGGGGTCCTGCTCCCAGCAACCGGACCCCTCCGTCCCTGATCGTAGAGGGCAAGGGGTTGGGTGAGCAGCACCCCCATATCTTCCCTGCAACCCTCCCAGAAACAGCTTCAAACAGGACAGGAAAGGAAAAAATGCAGGCTAGAAATCAGTAGTTGGTGGGTTAGAAAACTCAGATTCGAAAGGGATGGTGTGAAGAGGTTGCAAAAAAATGCCACTAGTGAATAACCTGATAAGGTCTGTCCTGTGCACCATCCTCCCTTGGAAGAAATGTTTTCTGCTGCCCAGCCTGAAATTCCCAAGCCTCTGCTCCTCCCCACGCCCCCTGCATCGCTCACTGGAGCATCCCCCAAGCAGGCATGGCCTGGGAGGCCCTGCTCCCACCCCATCCACGTCCCACAGCAGCACCCACCATCCCTCTGGAGACAGGTGGCAGCACCAGTGGGAGTCAATAATTTAATTCCTTATCCAAAAAAAAAATAAAGGAACTCAGTACAAAGTCCAACCGCTTTGGCAACCCGCCATGTTCCTGGTCAGGTGCCTGCCATGGTCCAGATGTCGATGCTCTGGATGATGAGCCACTCGCTCTGGTCCCGGGTTACCCGGATCCTCACGCACTCCACGGGGTTGGGCACAGCCTTCTCCAGCCCCCAGCGCTCAAAGGTCCCCTTCTCGAAGGCGCCCATGGTGGTGTAGGCAGAGCAGTCCCGATGGTCAGCCCGCCGCCGCCAGCCCAGCTCCAGCACCCCTGCGTGTAGGAAATCACCCTGGCGCTCCTTGGACCCCGTGCGCACCCGGACATGGGTGACGCGGGCCGGCTGCTGGAAGACAATGGAGAAGACGCTGCCAGCTACTGGGTTTTTCCCCCAAAAATACCCCTCTGCTGTACTGTAAGCTTTGAGGGGCTCATAGTTCTCAAAGACGGACATGCTGGTGAACAAGACTGCCGGTGGGTTATCTGGAAGGTCCAAGGCATTGGCCTCAAACTCATCGTCCTCCAGCCGGTTGACTGTGCCCTGGAAGGAGGAGTAGAGGCCCATGTGCTGGAAGAGGGAGGGCTTGAAGCGGATGATGTCCTTCTGGGTGAGCAGGAGGCGGAAGTGGACCAGCAGCCAGTCACAGGGCATCTCCTGGTAGAAGAGGAGGAGGAAGCGAGCCAGGCGAGGAAGGTCACTGGAGCGGTAGAGCTTACCAATGTAGCCCAGCTTGGAGAACTCAAGGGTGGCCCAGTTGGAGCCTTCCCGGGAAGCCAGTGCCTTGCGGATGGCTGTCAAGAAGGACTTGGCGCACCACACATCATCCTCAATCATCAAGTAGTAGGAGGAGAGGTTGGCAGCAAAGGCAAGGAGGAAGGCATAGTCCACGTTCTGCTTGGACCTGAACCTTACCCGCTCCTCTGGGTCATTGTAGTTTCTCTTGAGGCCCTCCAGGGTGGGGTAGAACTCATGGGGAGCGTGGATAAGCAGGAGCCGGCCCAGGAGGATGTGATGAGCAAACTTGTGGGCAATGTCAGCGGCCACATGCATGTTCCATCTGGGATCTGTGTCAGCCAGGTGCACCACCACCACCATCTCCTGCAGCTCCTCTTCCGTCGACTGCTTGAAGAGGGACTGGAGTGTGGCAGGGAGGTATTAGCCACGCGGCCGCCGCACTGACGCCAATCCCACTGCCAAGAATTCTGCAAGGCAAAGGAAGGGCATTAGCAGGCTGAGGGGTGACCTGGGATGACCATGGTGAGGTTTGTCCCTGCAAGCCACGGGGAGGGGGCTCCAAAAAGCTCTCTGTATTGCTAGCCTGCACCAGTAATGCTATTTATGTCCAAGGCTGGAAGGTCCTTTCTGAAGCTGAAGCCCCCAGTGTCTCAGGAGGTGCCCAAAACTGGCCAAAGGGCAGGGAGAGGCCAAGATGAGAAGTCAAGAGCTTCTCTGAAGAAGAAATATTTGGGAAAAACACCTTAAAAAAAAAAAAAAATTGGGGAAGGAACAGTGCAGACAGCCTATGGGGTAGAGATGGCTTCATGGCATGACTGCACATCCTGAAAGGATGCCCCTACCCTTCTCTGAACCTCATGGAGATGCAGCCATGCTGGGACAAGGCATCCTTCTGCCCTCCCTCCCACAGTCCAGCTGCAGCTGCATTTTCTCAGCTTTGCTGCAGCTCCTCTTGCTGCTGGTCTGTGCAGCACCGTGCAAGTACTGGACCTCTGGTTTCAGCGTGGGCTGGTGTGGGGCTGCCCTAAGCACCTTCCCATGACATTTGCACGTGAATTGCTTTTCGTGCACTCATCTAAGAGGTTGACCCCCCATCTCCCATGCTATATGACTGTCCTGGTGGTCCAGCCCCACCATCTCCACCTTCCTGACTAGAGAGCAGGAAACTCAACCCCAGGGAGGTGGGATCTCAGCCACCCTCCCCACAGAAATCTGGGAAACCCAAAATACCTGCGGTGACCCCAGTCCCAAGGTGCAGAAGCACGGACCACCTTCCTCCACCCCTCCATCTAACCCAGAGCCCTGCCCAGTCCAGGATCCAGAGGCACTCACTTTTGTGGGGTGATGGGGTGCCAGCAAGGAGGTGGTAGGAGACATTGTGGAGCACAGAGAGGACATCTGTGTCCCTGAGGATGCGGAGGGCTCCTTCCGGCTGCAGCATCTGCAGGACCGCATCAGGGGCTAGGCCCCTAAGCTCCACCTGGATGGGAGTCACAGGCAGCCAGGTCAGACCCCAGAGCACCATGGGCATGTGTGAGCAAGGAGGGAACCCAGAAATGGGGGGGTGGGGGTGTCTGTGCTGTCCTGCCCTCCCAGCTCCTGGATCGGGGTGAGGAGAGGGCAGAGCTGGGCTTTGGGGGTGGTACAGGGCAGGGATGGGAGCAGAGCTGGGGTTGGGGTCTGCGTGGGGCAGGCAGGGATGGAGGATGCTCCAGTCACCCTTCCAGCAGGACATCACCGGTGGGGGACTCCAGAAATGGGGGGGTGGGGGTGTCTGTGCTGTCCTGCCCTCCCAGCTCCTGGATCGGGGTGAGGAGAGGGCAGAGCTGGGCTTTGGGGGTGGTACAGGGCAGGGATGGGAGCAGAGCTGGGGTTGGGGTCTGCGTGGGGCAGGCAGGGATGGAGGATGCTCCAGTCACCCTTCCAGCAGGACATCACCGGTGGGGGACTCCCCTCCGGGGGCTCCTGTTCCTGCCGGCTGCCGCCGTGGAGGAGGAGGAGGAAGAGGAGGAGGAAGGAGGCTGCAAGCGCAGCGGTAAGGGAGCGCTTCAGGAAGCATCGCATAGCACCGAGCCCTCACGCTGAGGCCTGCGGGAGGAAGGGGCACATCAGGTCAGGGCACAGCCTGGCGAAAATCACCATCCCCTGGATGGGACGGTGGGGCGGCACCTGGATGCACCCCCCAGGCTGACCCCTCTGCTCAGAGCACCCAGGGGTGCACACCTGGGGGCTGCTGTGGGACATCAGGAGACACCCGTGCACTGTCCCCTTTGGGCAGACAGGGGCAGGACACCCCAGCCCAGCCAGGGAAAAAAAAAAAATCAGCCCACCAGCCGTGCCAACACCCCCGGCTGCCCTGCAACCCCCCCACGCAGCAGCCCTGGAGCTGGAAGCAGAACAACTGCAGGTGACACACGCCTCCAGGAAGGCTTTCGGATCAGGGTGGCACCCCAGGAGCAGTCGCCAAGACCTCGGGACTTGTCACCAAGCTCTGGGAAATACTCAGGTCTCAAAGGAGCCCAGGCTGCTCTTCCAGCATCACGATGACAAAACTCCCCCAGCCCCTCCTGCCTGGCCTGCTCCCCGACCACCTCCAGGCAGCCACCGGCAGCTGTGCTCACCCCGTCCCGGCAGGTCCCTTGCTTGGTAGGACAAGAAAGCCGTCCCTGAGGGTAAGAGTGTCACCTTCAAGGAATTTGTAGTGCCCTTGAGATACTTTGCCTTGTAGCAGAGGCGTGGCAGGAGGCTAAAAGGCTCCTGTGTTCGCCTGGGGTTTTTCCATTATAAATATGACCGGATCTGCCCTGGGAGAGGAGAAACCGGAGACTGAGTGAGTGCCCAGCCCAGCAGGGCACACACAGTCAGCCCCATCCAAACTGCTCACAGCTTGTTTTGGTCAAAGCGTCTTTGACATGTGGAGGAAAAGCCCCCCTAAGCTGTGCAATAAACCACTCAGAAAGCTGGGCTTTACCCAGGACTTCTCCTTAAATACATCACTGCATCAACTCCCACTGTGCAGCAGATGATCCCGTGGTCCCCAAACGGCAGAGGCTGGCGAAGCACCTACCTGTGTTGCTGCTGCCCTCGTGGAGCGTGTGCTGAGCTCATTTTAAGGAGAAACCCCCTGTTTTCCTGCCCAAAAGTCCCATCTCAACAGGCCGACGCAGCAGCCAGTGCCGTCCATGCCGTGCTGACCTCGCCCATGAACATTGCTCATTACTCAGAGATAAGCAATTAAAACAAAGCGAGCTACTCTCTCCCAGGGAGGGCTGGGCTGAGCCCTGGCATTGGCAGGGCCCATCTCAGCCAAGGAGAGCAGAGGAGCCGCCTCCCCTGAACCTGAACTCCCTATCGCTGGTTCTTCAAAGCACTCGGGGAGGGGGGGACAACAAGCTCCTAGAGCTGCTTAAAACAGGGGGGAGAATTGGGGGTGCTCACTGCCACAGGCCAGCCCTACGGACAGCTCTTCCTGAAGCCCCCCCAGCCTCTCCTTGGGCCCATCTCAGCCAAGGAGAGCAGAGGAGCCGCCTCCCCTGAACCTGAACTCCCTATCGCTGGTTCTTCAAAGCACTCGGGGAGGGGGGGACAACAAGCTCCTAGAGCTGCTTAAAACAGGGGGGAGAATTGGGGGTGCTCACTGCCACAGGCCAGCCCTACGGACAGCTCTTCCTGAAGCCCCCCCAGCCTCTCCTTCCCCTGCAGCACAGCGGGCACAGGCAGCTCGGCGGCTTCCGGGG